GGCCCCCCAGGGCCTGGCTTCCCGCTGAGTAACCGGTCCTCTGCCTCCGCAGTGGTCGATCACTACACCACCAACATCGTCTTCAACGGCGTCCGGGTCATCGCCATCGTCATCATCGGCCTGGGCTTCCTCCTGCTGCTCCTGCCCGAGGAGTGGGACGTCTGGTTGGTCAAGCTGCTCACCCGCCTCAAGGTGAGAAAGAAGGAAGAGCCGGCGGAGGGCGCCGACCTGGGCCCCGGCCCGCCGAGCAAGAGGAGAGCCCGCCCCTCCTTCGCCCGCTGACAACAGTTTCTGGAACATTCTGGGTCGCTCACGCTGACGGTCTGGAGGTCTGTTCCTGCCGGAACCTCGCTTGGTAAGGTGTACATACCTGTACAGTTTTGGTAACCTCGGTCAGCTACATGGTTTTCATCGGCATGTCCAACTGCTTGCCCTGTTCACATCAGACCTTCCACCTAAGGTCCCAAGTCAGCACGCGAGAGGAGAGGGCAACCTCAGCTCTTCTGAAACGAATGCAGAGCAGGTGAAAACTGTCCTTGCCCCGGCTGTATGGGTGACGCGCCCTGGCGAGGCAGGGCGATTGGGTGGCATCCTAGCAACCGAAAATTACATCGCACACTGTGATTACTTCCCAGCTGTGGCAGGTCATACTTTGTTTTATGCCAGAGCTGTGCTCTTAATTTTAAGGGATCACAATGAACCAAAACATTACTGAGTTTGGGTGGATAGACGGATGTGAGGAGGTGACACAGAGAAGGAGAGTGGACATCAAAACCCACCTCTGACCAGTCGGGGCGGCAGGTGGAGGGGGCCAGGCCTGAGCCAGGGGGCGCCGGGGGCGGTGGCCCGGGCCCCGGCTGGCTCTCACGGGCCTGTGCAAGGTCACGCCGGAGAAGTTACAGTGCCTTCCACAGAATCTTTGTCCTTACCCCTGTGAAGCGAGGTGACATCGTAAGTCACTGGCGCCATCTTATAATTTAGATGTAGAAATCTTTAAAAACCAATAAAACTATATTATATATGTGTGTGTGTACAAAAATGACCAGGCTGGCGACAGTGTCCTGGAACGTGGTTACGGTGCGGGTGACCACGGGGGCGGGACCGCCGGGTGGCTTTACTTCCTTGACCAGGACGGAAAAATTATCTCCTGAACCTTTACACCTTTTTACGAGACTCTGAAGCACCAGGCTTTACTTCACGGCTCAGCTCCGCCGGAAGTTCTATCTCTGATAGACTGTAAAGAGGGACCGGGGTAGAGTTTACTATTTTTGACGTTTACATTGTTACATACGAAATGGACACTTCTTTTGAAATGTTGTCATAACCCAAAGGTGCACTCTGTAACCTCGGAGTCTTCGTTTCATAGGGGCAAGGGGCACTCATGACCTGAACTTTTTAGCAAATTCTTCCTCTCAGTTTCCATTACCTGTTTGGCCAAACAGATTAATAAACTGTTTAAAAAGAAGCACGTCGTTGTCTTGATGGCGCCTGGGGCGTGTTCCCCCCGCACCGGCTCTGACCTTGTCTCCCTTACACTTTCTCCCAGCCGGTCCCACCTGCCGCCACCTTGAAGGCACCCAAAGCCACCCACCCTCCTGCAGGGAAGAAAGGGCTTATCGCAGGCAGATTTGACTTCCACAGAGTGAGACGCAGAACAGTCAGCCCGGCCTCGTGGAAAGTAAGTCCTGGGGCAGCGTTTGCTTCCACCCCGACCTCGGCCCAGCCCCGGGCGTCGCCTCCGGCTCCCTGTCCCGTGGCCTGGCTCCGCAGCTCAGCGACAGGTCCTCACAGCTGCCCGGGAGCAGCCTCGGTTCTCGAATTGACCGGGTCTTCAACTCGGCCTCCACCCCTCACTCCTGCTTTGGGTGTCCTAACCTCATCCTAGCCCTCCCGAGAATCTGATTCACCGCCTTTGGTAACGTCTACACCGCTGTCCCAGGCAGCTGGGGCCGGGCCTGTGAGGTCCTGGGTCTCTCTTTCTACAGCTGCAAAGGGCTGGGTTCGCTAAGAGGGTGCGAGCAGAGAGGTGACGAGTCCCTTTAGGACACCCCGTCCTATCGTCCACGCCTAGAGCATCCACACACCACGGCCACCTGCTAGATACGGTCAGAACCGGGAGAGGCTGGCTGCCCCGAGCAGAGCACCCCCTACCCAGGGAGCCCAGTGTGTGCTCAGGGAAGGGGGCAGCAGGACCCTGGATGGTCAGACCGGTCACCTCTGAGTCTCTGTCTGGGCCCCAAACCCCTCCAGTTACCCCAAGGAGCCAAGCAAACATTTCCTGTGTGAGCCATAATGTAAAAAATTGGGAAACCCTACATTCAAGCAAACTTCCCTCATACTCCCACTGGGCGTGGAGGCCTATGGAAGCCCAAGAGTCAAGGCAGGGACTCCAAGGTGCTTGTCAGCCTGTGATCACAGCAGCATCAGTCACCGTAGCCGACAGTGGAAGCAGCAAGGTGCCCGTCGAGGGACGACTGGAGCAGGCGTATGTGGCATCTCCATATGGTATCAGTACCATGGACAACAGGAATGGTAAACCAGATGGCGAGAACGGCATCGTGCAGGTTGTCTTTCATATATATATATATAGGTAACTCTATAGTTTTTACTGAATTGCATTTTTCCATATTATTTAGTAGAGGAGTTTATTTTTTCCAGTTTGATTGAGGTATAATGGATATATAATGTATTAGTTTAAGGTGTAAACATGATGATTTGATATTTGTATATATTGCAAAGTGATAACAGTAAGTTTAGTAAACACCTGTTACCTCACATAGTGACATCCTTTTGTGTGATGAGAACTATTAATATTTGTTCTCTTAAGCAACTGTCAAATACACAGCACACAGGATTGTCAGCTGTGGTCACCACGCATTATATCCGTATGACTCATTTATCTTATAACTAGAAGTCTATGCCTTTTAACTAGAAGTTTGTGCCTTTTAACCACCTTCACCCCCACTCCATCTATCTATGAATTTGGCTTATTTAGATTCCACCATAAGCGAGGTCATACGGTATCTGCCTTTCTCTGTCTGACTTATTTCACTCAGCATAATGCCCTAAGGTCCATTCAGGTTGTCACAAGTGCAAGGTTTGATTCTGTTTTATGGCTGAGTAATATCCCGTCACATAGGCACCACATGTTCTGGTAAAGAGCCTTCATCCACTGATGAACGTGGAGGTTGCTTCCACGTCTTGGCTGTTGTAAACAATGCTGCAGTGAACATGGGGCACCTCTTCAAGATCGTGGTTTTGTTTCCTTCAGACATAGACCCAGAATGGAATCTCTGGATCATATGGAAGTTCTGTTTTTAATCTTTTAAGGGACCTGCATACTGTTCTCCACAGTGGCCGCACATTTTCCGTTTCCTTCATTTACCACATTTTAAAGGCATTTGAGCCAACATTTTTAAATTGGGAGATTTCACATAAAAATACGGATTTCTGATGTCTCTTGAATGACTTCTCTTGAAAGAAGCTTCCAGTAAATTAGGCCTGCATTTCAGAGCAAGAATCAGCTGACCCCTACCTGTGGCTCCAGCCTTCGGCCACACCATTCACAGGCATCGCGGGTGTGTTTGCACTGGATGTGGCATCGCAGGTGTGTTTGCACTGAATGTGGCATCGCAGGTGTGTTTGCACTGGCTGTGGCTCATTTGCATTACTTACCTGGGCTCTGTAGGCCTTAGAGGTTACTACTCATGCTGTGTGGAGTTTGGGGCACAAATGTGTAAGACAGATAGGCAGGCCCAGGTGGAGACATACGTGGGCACACTTGGTGCATAAAGGTGTATGCCCATCAATATCTAAGGCAGAAAATAAGGCTGGAGAGAGGTAGGGCCCAGATCATGACTAATCCTTTCAGATACCCACCTTTTTCTGACCAGTACTTGACCTGACCACGACTACAAACATGCATGGCGAACAGCCCTCTGGGAGGTGTCCCTTCTTGACTCGGCAAGGGACGGAGCCCCAGGAGGGCGCAGGCAGCGGGTGTCTCTCCGCATATTTCATGGCGAGCGGGACCGGGTGCGCGCACACGCCAGGCAGGTGCGGCAGGTGCTCCTGGAGCCCACCTGGGGCTGCACGTGGGCCCCACGCTCATACAATTAGCTAATGGGCTCGAGGGCCGGCTGCTTCCCGACGGAGAGGTGCCCGGTCAATCCGGCGAGCAGCACGCAGGCGGCGGAGAATCGATAGGAGGGCGCAGCGCCCAGCAGACAGGGTCCGTGTGGGCCTCTGGTGAGTCAGCAACGGAAAAGTCACAACAAAAATAGAAACTCTTTTATGGGGACTCGAAGTGTCTGCTATACGGTTGGTTTTATTAACATCAGAATGAATAACAGATGTTTGCAGGAAGCACTGCATCTTTCCCAACAGCGCAACCAGTGGGAATCCGGAGAGTCCTGCAGGCTGTGGCTCGGGTATTTCACAGGTCACCTTTGATGAGAAATCTATTCAAAAGTTCTGTATTTATGTTCAGGAGTCTCCATACGCATTCACCCTTCACCTCTACCAGTTCATCGCTGTGTATGTGAATCTGGGAATTCTAAACATCACACTAAAGACCGAAGTGATTTCATCACCTGTGCAGTTTGGTGTAATGCATTATTTTTGAGATTCTATCAATTAAATTGAATATTTTCCCCAGTTTTATTTAGTCACAATTAACATACAACTTTGTATAACTGTAAGTTTAAGGTGTAGTGTTATATATGCAGTGTTATATATAACATAGTGATTATATATAAAGTCAAAACGGGCGAGTCAACACAGCCATCGCCTCAGGTAGTTGCAATATTTGTGTCAGCGAGAGGACACCCTGAACTGTAAGCTGTGACACTCAGCCGGGCACAGTATTTCAGAATTTGAAATGAGCTCGTAAAGTTCAACCTGGAATAAAAGCTCACATCTGGTAGATGTTCTTTAAGCAAGGGAACGAAAAGCATGCTGGTAGTTAAACTGAATAGTCAATACTGTCTCAGCAACAATACTTGTTCAACAACAAGACGCAGCTGCGACTACAGTGACCCAGTGGCTTCCCTCTCAGTGCGTCGACACCGGGTGCCCTGAGTGGGGAGTACAAAGAGAGTCCTTAGATCTGCTCTGGGTGCAGGTGGCAGCTCCGAGCTCACCACCGTGGCCATTGGAAAACCCTGACGGGTCCCTCTTCTGAGGCTCCACACACCATCTCCAGAAAGGCCTTCGGAAGTTCAAAATCGGCCTGTGGTCAGAGCCACCCACTGAGCCCACCGATGGATTTCATCAGAATTCCC